AGTTAGTGTGAGCTAACTCACAGTTTTTTAGCCTCCGGCTCACACATTTTTGTCTCAGCTCAGGAAGGATGGCTCCAGAGCAAACTAATTTATGCAGCAGCCAAATCGCTTGCAAACAGCTTTAATGCCAGCAGCTCACAAAGTAGAATTTTTGCTTACAAGCCTCCACAGCTTAGAGGAAGCATTGCTGGAGACCGTTTAAATTTTAAACTCTTTACTTTACAAATAGCTCCGCTTAGCTCTCCTTCCCCGGAACTCCATTTGACAACCCTGTGTTTATTTTATACTTTATGTAACATAAATATTATAAAACAAAGTTTGAGTCCAGTGGCACCTTTAAGACCAACAAAGTTTTATTCAAGGCATACGTTTTCGTGTGCAAAGCACACTTCCTCAAATACTTGCACACGAAAACTTATACCTTGAATAAAACTTTGTTGGTCTTAAAGGTGCCACTGGACTCAAACTTTGCCATGCTGCTTCAGACCAACAGGGCTACCCCACCTGAATAAAATTAGGGTTTCCAAGAATATTTGCCACCTTGGGGACCCTGAATTGGGTGGAAAAGTGGCATAGAAATGTCTTTTAAAGGGGGGGGGGTAAGAACTGGAACTACACATCTTCAGGGATCCTCAAGTTTCCCCCCCACAGAACTTCCCCTAAATCTAGTATCAAATCACATGTCAAAGCCAGGATGATGGAAGGAACCTAAAAAAAACAACACAACACCACCCAGATCTAATACTTTGTGGTGCAGCAATAACACAAAACCAGATCTGAGGCATAGATTCTGCATGGGTTCTCAATTCATATGGGATTTACACTGAAACAAAACCACTGTCATACTGTAGATCATGTCTTAAGTTTATAGGCAGCAACACAAAAATCATGCATCCACCATATTGTGGCACCATGATGGCACAAAAACGTAGTTCCAAAGCATGGATCATCATTATTTTTGCTTTGAGTCACTCCAGACTCATAATCAACTCATGTATCATGTCCATAGCCTCATATTACGCCAGGAAAATCACAGAGCCACTGCTTCATGGGACTGCCATGGCACAAAAATGTGGCTCTGAAGCACAGATCATTATGGATCCTCAGGAATTTTGCGTTGGGTAACCCTAAACTCACTATCGAACCACAGGTGTTCATGGCCACAGACTGCATGACAAAAATCACACATCCACTGCTTTGCAGCCTCTTGAATTCATAAGATTTTTATGTGGGTTAATTTGCTGTAATTTGTGGCCAAGGACACAATCTCTGATTGGATAGTGAGTTTGGGGTGATCCAGTGCAAAAATCCTGAGGATCCGTGCTTTGGAATTGTATTTTTGCACTGTGATGCTATGTGATTTTTGTGGTGCCAGCTGTGGCTACAGATATGATATGTGATATGATGGTGAATTTGTGGTGACCCAATGGAAAAATTCTAAGGATCCTTGAGGAGCCATGCTTAGGAACCATGTTTTTCCACTTGAAGCAGCGAATCTGTGATTTTTGTGGTATAATCTGTGGCTATGGACATGATTTGTTGGCGAGTTTGGGATGACTCAATAGAAAAATATTGAGGATCCATGAGAATCTGTGCTTTGGAACCCCATTTTTGTTTTGTGGCAGTGCCACAAAGCAGTGGATCCATTATTTTTGAGGCACCAGCTGTGGCCATGGACATGATATGTGATTGGATAATGAATCTGGGGTGACCAAAAGTACAAATTTTGAGGATCCGTGCTTCTGAACTATATTTTTGTGCCATAGTGGCACCACAAATCAGTGAATCCATGATTTTTAGTGGTGCAATCTGTGGCTTTGGACATGATATGTGATTTGATGGTAAGTTTGGGTGACTCAGTATAAAAATTCTGAGGATGCATGAGGATCTTTGCTTTGGAACCATGTTTTTGTGCCATGATGGTGCTACAAGGCAGTGGATCTGTGATTTTTCTGGTGTAATCTGTGGCTATGGACATGAGATGTGATTTTATGTTGAGTTTGGGGTGACCCAACACAAAAATCATGAGGATCCATGCTTTGGAACTACATATTTGCAGTGGATACATATTCAAATGATCTATATGACAGTGGTTTTATTTTGTTTCACTGTAAAAATCATATGAATTCATGAGCATCCATTTAAAATTATTTAGATCTGACTTTTGCCCAGTCTGCTCCAATTGTATAGCCTTAGGGAGAGATGAATAATGAAATTATTATATTTTCTGAGTTGTGTGTACAAAATTCTTAGACAACCTGCAAACCAGTGCATGATGGTTTTCTGAAACAGCTGATTAACCTTTCGGTTACATCCAGTGCAGTCCTAAACAGAGCTGCTCCAGTGGATTTAGAGGGGTGTAACTCTGCTTAGTGACTTGGTATTCAGTTATGCCTGTTTACTTTATTTGTATTACTGCATCCACTGTGATGATGGCTTTTGAAATGCCTTTCATATCAAAGCTATTGAGGGGAAAGGAATGGCACAGGTCCTCATAAGCATCTGAGAATTTTTCCCTATCTTCCAGAATGTTATGAGAAATATTTCTGCATACAGCAACAAGAAGAGGCTTCTAACAATTATCTGTGCAAGTTACACTGGTAATTAATGAATTCTAGTAAAATTACAAGATTTGCTTTTACAGTTCTTAATAGTAAAAATTTAATGGAGATTGACTGTGTTATCTCCCTTGGTTGCAATAAATCAATATTTGTTTTGTTCTGCAACAGTTCTTACTGGGTTTTTTGCTGGTTTATTGCCCACGTATGATATTTTTACTTGGAATGGGAGACTGTTCTTTGGTGTATGTTTTTTTAAAAGAGTTAATGAGGAAAAGAATGAATATGCACATAGCTATACATTCTGTAACGCACATAATTATTGTCAGAGTGCCACATACACACACTTGGTACAAAGGCTAATTGTACCTGCTTTCAGGGGTACTATAAAAAGAAGAGATGACAAAGAACACTATTTAGTAGTCATATAATGGAAGTTTACAGTTCCACCCTAAATAGAGTAACAGTTTAAAACCTATTGGTTTCAGTGAACTTTGAAGGTTGTTGTAACTCTACTTAGGGTGGCACTAATAGTCTTCACAAGCTATTAATGGTGCAGTTGAATCCAAACTAAAGGGAATGTCTTTCCTTTCCCACATGATACAAAGGCAATGTTATTATTCAGAAGGTTCACTGGAATGATCAACATTTCCAGGAATACATTCTTCTAAATAATATAAGCACTACTTTTTACAGTACTATCCTATGCAGTTAATCCAGAGGTCATTTCGGGGGGATCGCGGGGGATCGCAGTTCCCCTGGGTGAGGTACGGGGGGCGGGGCACATGACGAAGCCCCGCCCCCTGCTTCCGGCCGCCCCGCTTCCGGCCCTCATTCAGCCAGGAGGAGGCAGGAGAAGAGGGAGCGTAAGTTGCTTCCTCCCTGCCTCTCCCCACCCCTGCCTGCCTGGGGCCAGGGAGGGCCTTTGCGGGGCTTCCATGCACTCCCGCCGGCCTTGCAGGTCCACCGCCGGGCCCCTCATCGGGCATGGCAGTGGAGCTGCAAGGCCGGCGGCGGCCAGGACCGTTGGGGGCGGGGTGTGTGGCCTTATGACGCACTTCCGGTGATGTCAGGGGGTGTGGCATATGCTAATGAGTTCCCCTAGCTCTTTTTCTACGAAACGACCCCTGAGTTAATCCAGTCTCAATAGATTTGTATGTACTCGAGTAACTTGAAATAGCCTGTTATGATTTCTTTTTACACACAATTATTGTACAGCAGAACAGTTCCAGGCATGCCAAGCCTGAATATTTAGGTTGCCAGCCTCCAGGGGTGGGGGGCTAGAAACCTCCTGGAATTACAACTGCTCTCCAGACTACAGAGATCATTTCCCCTGGGGAAAACGGTTGCTCTAGAGAGTGGATTATACCCCACTGAGGTTCCCCCCACAATCCTAATCTCCACCCCCAAATCTCCAGGGGTTGCCTTGAGTTGGCAATCCCAAGGAATACTCTTATCATATGAGCAGAGGTCATCCTGAGAAGCAAATGTGCATTGGCTCACATGGCAAACCCATCCTATGACTTATTTACTTAAAGGTAAATCTCAGTGAGACTGTAGAACAAATTTAGTAAAAGGTAAAGGTTCCCTTGCTCGAAAGCCAGTCGACTCCGACTCTAGGGTTGCGGTGCTCATCTCCGTTTCAAAGCCGAAGAGCCAGCGCTGTCCAAAGACGTTTCCGTGGTCATGTGGCCGGCATGACTAAACACCAAGGCGCACGGAAGGCTGATCTGTTCCACTGCTTCAGACCAACACGGCTGACTACCTGGATCTCACTGAGACTGTTTGGTTTAAGAGGTAAATCTCACTGAGACTTATTCTCAGCCGGATCCTATGCACATCTATTCGGCAGCCTCCCTCCAACCAACCACCCCCGGTAGGGTTTCCAACTCTGAGCTGGGAAATACCTGGAGAAGATTCTGAGGGTAGAGCCTGGGGAGGGTGGGGGTGTGGGGAGAGGAGGGACAACAGCAGGGTATGGTGCCATAGAGCCCACCCTCCAAAGCGGCCATTTTCTCCAGGGGAACTAATCTCTGTCGCCTGGAGACCCGCTGCAATGCCGGGAGATCTCCAGCCACCATCTGGCGGTTGGCAACCCCAGTCCCAGAGTATTTCAGAAGCCTGCCGTCCGCACGCAGCGCACCCCGGGACGTCCTTTTGCCACAGGAAACGGGCACTAGGCGCACGTCGCCTCGCCTGCCTAAGAGAGAAGGCTGGCCGTGCCTGAGGAAGGGGAGGCTCTGCTGCTACTGCTGCTGACACACGCCGCCACCGCCGCCCTTGCCTGCCCTTTCCCCGGCGCATTCTCCGCCTCTCCTTTCCCTTTCCCTTCCTCCACCAGGAGGAGTCTGTCGGCGAATGGGGCCTGCCTTGTGACCGGAAGGACCGGGGAGCTGCCCCCGGAGGAAGACTCGGCGGCGCTGGCTCGCAACGGTGGCGGGAGAGTCGCGGGCACGGCCGGGCCTGGAGCGAGGGGGAGCGGTCGGCCTTGCCGGGACGAGGGAGCGGGCTGAGCGGGTAAGAAGGCAGGGCTGAGGCACCGGCCCCTTCCCACGCCTGCCCGTCCCGGGCCCTGTCGCTGGGGCTGCGTTGCTCCGGGGCGGCAGGAGGAGCCGATGCCCGTTCTGCCCACTTGCCTGCACCCACCCGGGGTGGGCGTGGTGGCGGTGGCTGCCCAGGGGCCGGCTTGGCTGGGAATGCTGGACCTGGCCTGGCCTGGCCCGGCTTGGCTGGGGCTGCTGCAGATGCGACCAAATGTCAGGTCTCTTTCTGTTGGAAGAGAAGGGGGAGTGGGGGGCTTGGAGAAGCAAGAAGGGGTGTCTGTCAGGTCCAGAAGCACCCAGAACTTTCTTTTTTTAATGGCAAAGAGAGGTATTATCTGTAAGCCAGGTCTGTGGAATGCTCTTGCTGAATGACACAGGATAACGTGCTAGCTTTCGGATTTCTGAGAGCAGTGGGAAAACGGGAGGGAAAGGGGGGGAAATGCGTTTCTGTGGCTGTCCGAGAGGAGCGTCTATGATCTGGCCTAGTAACCTGTGTCTGCAGATGCATCCCCATGTGGTTGGATGTGTTGCGCTATAGCAATCCTACATGTCTTGGTGGAGACGAGAATATAGTTGCAAGCCATCGCTATAGTGCCATGATAGCCAGTATTATGTAGATACCTGGGATAGGTATTTATGTGGTCCTCTATAGAAAACTAGAAAGCAGGGTTTTAATCTAGCTTTCTCAAACCTACAGTGCAGTCTTAAACAGGCTTCAGGAGTTGGGATTGCACTGCTGCTTTTCTGACATAGAAGAATTTTTATATGTATGGAGGAGTATTCAGTTATGAGAGGATGGAACCGGTTTATCTGAGAGTTCTGTTTGCTATCACCGTCTTAGGACAGAGGGGCAGGCTAGTGTTTTTATTTAGTAAATAAAATATTCATAGCTTGCCTCTCACCATAAAAGGGGACTCAAGGCATCTGTTAAGATAAGACATGAGCAAATCCAGAGGGAGCTCCCAAATAACGTTTAGTAGTGTTAAGATGAATAGCATCTCACGAGACTTAAGTCACAAGAAATGTAGGAAAATTTAGTCTCCAGATACCCTCCTAATTTCAAAGAAGCGGCTGCTGGAAAAAAACCCACCCTAATGTTGTCAAGGCAAAATGCAAAAAAATTGAAAATGCTGTTAATAGGCCATCTTTGAAAATGTGAGAATGCTCCCTAAAACATTATAATGCTTGTGTGTCATAGTCTTGCAGTTTAAAGGTTCAGCATCTTAGGTTCTGTAGCATGTTCTGTTGGCCGAATCTTTATAATGGCTCATGACATTGTGAAGAAGTGGTGTAACCTAAAAAGAAGTTCCATTCTGGACAGCGAAATTTCAGTTGACTCAAATAACAGATGTGTCATGTTTGGCAATTCTTGATAAACTACCGTACTTTGTCACTGGTGGGGGTGTTGTAATACTTAGTTGTGGTTGTGGCACTGCTCATTTAAGACTGGGTTATACTTTATTTTGTTAGAAAGTATAATCGGTATGTAATTACTCTTAAGAGTTTGAAGCAGGGGTCATTTGGGGGGGGGACGCGGGGGGACGCCATCCCCCCGGGTGAGGTGCGGGAGGGCGGGGCCTGGAGCTCCCTGCTGGTGCCCGCTGGAGGTCGCCGCCGGCTGTGGGGACGACACACTTCCGGTGATGTCAGGGTGTGTGGCATATGCTAATGAGTTATGCTAATGAGTCCCCCTAGCTCTTTTTCTACGAAATGACCCCTGGTTTGAAGTCATTTGGGAAAACACTTTTCAAATATAAAAAGTGCTATGCTTGATATATTGATGGAATTTTAAAAGTGTAAATGGCTGTTTCTTCTTCAAACGGGACTTATATGCAATTATAGATATGGAACAGCAGGTTTCTACCCCCTAAGGTATCTTAGTTATTGCTAATAGGGAACATACAGAAAGAGTAAGAAGTTGAAAATAGAAACAATCAATACTGTGGTAAATAAAAGGATTTTTTACTATCTGGATTTACAGTCAACTTTGCATATAATCAGCATTACAGAATGAATGCAAAGACCTTCAGCTTGTATGTACTAGAAGGGACAGTGGGATTTGTGCTTTTCATCATAAGCAGTAATCAGTGTCCCAACTGAAAAACAAACTTGTGTCTACCTTAATACATCATGGGATTAGGAGTAAATTAAAATTTAAATTCTTACACAGTTTATCTGTTTTCTTGCGGAAATTTGTACACCAAAATTATTTCAAGGCCATAACGTCTCCCAAATCCCTGGAAATAAAATGAAATATCAGATTTAGGAATGAATGGTCTTTCAGAAATTGATGATGGTTAGGGAAATGCTAGTATGGTCTAGAATATTGTGTAAATGACATGATACAACTTTCACAGGGATAATTTTGTCCTGTGTCTTACCATCAGAACAGTGAAACGGGGTTACCCGCCTACATGGTACTGCATTTGGGGAGGGAGGACTCTACAAGTTTGCAGAGAGACATCTTAGTTTGTGTAAACACAGAAACAGCCCAGTGAGGACTTGAGCATGTTCATTGCTTTCAAGGCCACAGAATGTTGAGAACATTTGAGGGGAAGGAAAATAAAGGTGATTTTGGTATTTTCAAGTCCTTAACAATTTACACTATATTTGAGTGGGAAGGAAAGTGACTAATGGTTCTAATTTACCCCCTATAAACTCCCCCCCCCCAGGCTAAAGATTTGCTTAACCAGGGTCAGAGGAATGTGTCACTCACCCAGGAGCTGAGGAAGGGATAGAGCAGGGGTGTCAAACATACAGCCCAGGGGCCGGATCAGGCCCCCCGGAGGGCTTCCATCAGGCTCGGAGTGGAACTGGCCATCTCCTGCTTCCAGTTCTGCTGCTGCATCATAGCTTGCTTCACCAGACTCTCTTAATCACTCAGCCATTTCATGTTTTAACTTGGGTCCTAGACTCAGAACTCTGAGCATGAGATTTCTGTGGTGAATGTCAGTAAATCAAAAGTAGGTTTGCAGCTTACATAGCTAATGTTTTAAGCATGTTTTTATTTTAAGTAAAAAAAAATCTTTGTGTTTCTGTCCTTTATAAAGTTTATATATCCGCTACCTGGCATTACATTTTATGACACACATGGCCCGGCCCAACAAGGTCTCATTTATGTCAGATAACAAATGAGTTCGACACCCCTGGGATAGAGCCTCTATGAACCTCTAGTATCCTGAAAGAGATGGTGAAGTTAGGATTAAGGATGCATGCCTCATCCTCAGTTCCCCCTTCCCCCTCCAAAAAAACACCTGTTCTCTAATATGTGGCGAAAGGGGGGGGAGACCCCTGCTCAGCAGTTGTACAGCTAAACATTTTCCTGATCAACAATCAGGGCAGGTGCTGCGGTGTTCGACTTCTAAATTCAAGGCTATGTGAACAGGAACCTATTCCTGTAGCTCAGGAATCTGACTCTCGGATGATATTAAGGAAAGGCAGTTTTCTGATCACTTCATGCACATCCAGACTCTGTTATTTCTTGTGGACCTCTCAATTTGTTTTCTTTAATATGGGAGTTGATGACTGAGTGCCTGTAAGTAGGCAGTGAAATGGGGACGGCTAGGTGGAACTTTCTGCATACACTCCAGGTATGGGGGGGGCGGAACCCTCCAGGAGTAGCCTGATGAGGAATGAGCATGCTCACTGCCTGCAAGGGAACATTGAAGATTCCAAACTGCTGAGCAGAAGTTGAATAGAAATGGAGGTAAGTTTGGGAAAAATTAGCTTACTCAAGACCCTAGCAGATCCTTGAGTAGGAGATTTGAATGAATGAATGGATGGATGGGCTGGAGCGGGATTTTCCTAGATATATGGTCTTTAGGTCACAAAGGACATGTAAGTTTGCATCAGTCTGTTTAGAATGGAATGTTTTCACAATTTTGCTGTTTTGTAAATATGACATATGCTGAGTTACAAATGATGCATGTTGTTAAAGCTATACAATGTTTATATTTGGTAATGAGGTCAATATTGCATATATTTAAATTTTCTCCAAAAAGTGCATGATTTTCTGCATGATTTTCCAAGGGGGGGATTCCCCCCCCATAGCATCAACATTTTTGGAAACTTTGTACCTCTAATGAGAGCCCCAGCTTCCATTTATAATAAAAAAATACTATGCATTTTTGTAGTACCTTTCAAATGTTTGAAGTGCTCTGCATACATTATTAGAGTAATCCTTATAAAATCCCTTAATATACCACAAGCCTGCTATGACTGAAAAATGGTGGCTGGCTTAGAGAGCATGGCTAAAGTAAAATGTGAACTGGGAGCTTCCTGGATCACATTATCAGCTGACATACTACATCATCTTTTTGTGTATATTACTAGGAATAAGGCCTATTGTGGAAATAAATACAATGAGCTCTAGAAAGACGCTCTGGGCGGGTGCCCTGGCCTTGGGCACTTAGCAGCAATTTGCTGTGGTGACCTCAGTAGGGTATAACGATACAGAGTCCACATTTTCTCCAGGGGAACTGATCTCTGCCGTCTGAAGAGCAGTTGTAATTCTGAGTAATCTCCAGACCTCATCTGGCAATTGACAATAATGGTTCCCCAGGAGGAAATGGCTGGTTTGGAGGGTGGAGTCTATGGCATTGTACCTGTCTGAGGTCCCACCCCTCCTCAAACCCCACCCTCTCCAGGCTCCACCTCTCAAATCTCCAGAAATTTCCCAACCTGGAGGTGGCAAACCCTTCTCCTTCCCAGCCAACCATCAGTGTACCATTTTCTGCCCCTCTGACTTCAGGTTTCCATTTTCTCTCCCCTCCCTGCAGCCAGTACCTAGGAAAAGTACAGTCTTTCTCCACAGTGGGGACCAAAGCAGCTCACATCATTCTTCTCTCCTCCTTTTGATCTGCACAGTAACCTTGTGAGGTAGGTTAGGCTGAAAGTCTGTGAGGGGTCCAAAATCATCCGGTCAGTTTCCACAGGAAGAACCTGGATCTGGCAGACCCTGCTCTAAAGCACTAACTGCTATATCACACTGGCTGTAATAGGGGGGGCACCTCAGCAGGGTATAATCATAGAATCATAGAGCTGGAAGGGGCCATACAGACCATCTAGTCCAACCCCCTGCCCAATGCAGGACCAGCCTAAAGCATCTCTGACCAATATTTGTCCAGCCTCTTCTTGAAAGCTGTCAGTGAAGGGGAACAAAGCACCTCCCTAGGCAACTGATTCCACCTTTGAACCACCCCGTTTTTTTCCAGACATGAAAACTGCAACCTTGTTCCCCTTTATAAGGACACCCTCCACTTTACACTTTCTTCAGAACGATAAAGGAGTGGGACCCTTCCTGACCTTGTTATGTATGTGCTTGCAGTGCACTATTTATGTGCTGAGAGGCAACAAGTAGTGCTGATAACCTGTGTGAGAGTAAAGGAAACAGATTTCAGATGCCCTCTCTTCGTCTCTCCACTGTAACCAGTATAGAATCATGGCACATATTAAACAAAGGGACTAAACTCTTATATTTTTTACAAAGGTTGGAACCACTGTTGTTGGGTATTCCTTCTAGACAGAAGAATTCGGCAAGTGAATGATTACAGTAGTCAGATTGCTAACAAGTTGGATCCAATCTGTGCAAATCGCTTCATATGTTGACACTGAGATATCTGTTGTTCTTGAGTATTAGAATATTCTTCTACTTAATGTGAAGGAATGTGTTCAAAGTCTCTCTTT